TGTGATTATTCTTAAAAATTGCTGCATATGAGCCTTATATCCTGCTCAATATAACTATGGAACTATTCAGAATATTCTCTATGCGTATATTTGGCGAATTTTGTACAAAAGCCCACAATAATTTCAGCCTTTTCGTGGTGAGAAAATGGGCTCATCCCCGCAGTGTGAATTTGTAAACAAAGGCAATGGCCATCTAGACAATGATCCCTTAGCTCAGCGGTAGAGCGTGAGATTCCAGATGGGTGTCCTCAAGGTCGTCCGTTCAATCCGGGCAGGGATCAAAAGAGTTGTTTTTGGTCGAAGTTCTGTTGCTTCACTGACGTCCGGAAGTGTATACCCTTCTCCCCTGCCCAGTATATTATGTGATTACTTCTTCTCAACAGTTTTCCGTCACATTTTAGCGTGTGGATAGTATGGCATCGCATCTATAATCCGAAGAACCATCGCTATGTTTATCGCTGCTTCTAACAAACTGATATAGGTAGTGAGTGAGGAATTATTTGAGTGGAAAACTTTACTGATGAAACAACTATAGCTTCTTTGCAAGCACCATAGCCACTGGCCACTCCACAATCAGCTCATCTTCTCCTCTCACTCTCACTTCCCCCGCTTGCTCCTCCAACTCCTTATTTTCCCTCTCTTCCTTCTCTGCCCCTTCCATGAGTTCCGTCCACGTCCTTTCCGCTATCGTCCTCCCTCCGTGTTTCAGTGCATCATCAGGATGTTTTTCGAGATAGTTATGTAGCGAGCTGAATGTATGAAAATACCCCAGAAGACCATTCCACGTTGATTGAGAGCGGAGAATGATCGGGAGAGTAATTGGTGCGTTTGGAGATGGAGAGATGGTTGGGGAAGTATCATGGTATGGACCTGGCATAAGATAGGATGATAATAAGGTCAATTGGGAAGATCGATCTGTACTACAGAAGGGTATATACCAGAGAAATAAACTCGGTCGGTGTCAGTCAGTGTCACTGGCTCTCCGAGAACTTGTTTGGGCTCAGGTACATCCACGAGATGACGTTCAAGAATAGTTCGGCCAGGTCTTTCCCAGTAAGGGCCCAAAGAAGTGTCTGGGTTTTTGCCTTGGAGGTAGTGTGTAATCAGCGGTGTTAAGGAAGGGTATTTAGGAAGGCGAAATTCCGAGTAGGTCTGAATGTGAGAGTGAGTGAATATCACAAATCATACGACATCGGAAGACACACCCAGAAGGCAACAGTTCCGCCGGGACGTAGTACACGAGCAATTTCCGGCCATTGTTTGTTCCAATCAAACCAGTGGGCAGCTTGTGCTGTATGAATCGAAATTTATTTAAACGCTCTATCGTACGCGCGAACGCTCACCAGAGATGACCAAATCAACACTCTCATTCTCCAAGAAGTCAAGCTTTTCGGCTGAAGATTGAACGAAGGAGAATTGTGATGTTTTCTCTGCCACACAAGATCAGAGACTATGAAGGAGAGATTGAATGTGTGTGCACATACCACTACCAAGAGCTTTCTCAACCTGTTCCCTTGCCTTCTGTACCATTCCTTTACTCGGCTCCACACCAATTACTGTTTTAAACGGACTTAGCTCCGTCGTCGCCTGGCCCGTTCCACAGCCCAAGTCTACGGCGGTGTTCCATCGAGGTCGAAGCGTTGATGATTGTGATCCTTGATTCGTGGTGGAAGCAGAGGAATTTCCAGGCAACGCCGCAGCGCCTTTTTCGTGATAATTGAAGATCAATTGAAAAAGAGCCTTGGGATATGTTGGTCTGGATGCAGCGTAGACTGCTGCATCGAATGAGGATTTCGCAAAAGTAGACATGATTTATAATGATGACGGAAGCGGGGAAGGTAGGGCGCTAATTTAGCTTCAACCGAGTCGGAGTCTGAAGACAGAGTGTATTTCTTTGCAAGTACAACTCAACCTGTACCAGATTCTCAAGAGAAATAGTGTAGTGAACCCTAGGGTTCAGATTGAAACCTCACGTATGTTTCCGCGAATGGGGAAATGGAATTTGAACTGATCTTGTCATCATCGAAAAGCAGCGAAAATACTATGAGGTGCGGTGCTGTCGGATAGAGCACCTGTCCCTTGTGTCACCAAATATCATCCAACGTTCTAAACTTGACCTCCCACTACTGCACTTTTTTTTCTACCTCTTTCGCCCAACCTTTCATATCAACCAGCAAATCACTCTTTTGTGATTTAGTTAACCCCTTATCGTACCGCTTTTTCATGATATCCAGTGCCTCTAAGACCCACTCAATACCGTCGATATCCGACATTCTGGCTTTTTCCTTGACCTCGTTTTGAGCTTCGGCGGAGATGTCGATTTTAATATCCTGTATTTTTAGCGTGGGGTAGTCCACACCCAACCTTTCAAGAGCAACTTTGCCGTTGCGTTTAGTTATCAGGGAGACGCCTTTGACTCCTTCGTGTCCAAAGACCAGACCTACTGTCGGCGCTTCATTCTTCGAACTGATGGCATACAAAAAGCTAGCCGTGGAGGTAATTTTGCCTGTGGAGATAAATCGCTCAGACTTGGAAGAGTATATTGGGCTCGAAGAAAACCTTACCGACAGCTTGAGTAAGCTTCGGAGGAGAAATAAATGCTGCCAAGATACCTTTTGGAGCATCCGCCCTGCCAATGATCAGAGGCGAGGCGGTCACCATGACTATGGGATAGCGAACAAGAAGGATACATGTGGCAAGAAGTATAGGGAATGATACGACGAGTCGCATGTTGTAATTTGTAAAGGTGACGAGTAATGCCGGAAAAGTTCTTAGAAAAGCTGTCGTACGACGGGGATCAGGTACGTCTATAGGGTCAAAATGATGTTTGCGTTTGAGAAATTTTTACTGATAAGGAAAAAAACGATAATGAGGATCCATGTAAACGACAGAAAATGACGTCGCACTCACTCAGGCTAGTACGCGTTGAAATACTTTGACGGAGGTGGGAGTTCGACCAGCGATTCCGACGAGAGTTATGTCACTAGGACAGGCATTTCAGCATCAGTCGAACTCTGTGAATGCGCGGAGAACTCGCAAGAGCCAGTAAAGGCCGAGATGGGCCAGAGCACGAGAAACACATCCAAATGCACAAAAAGATATTGCGGAAGGACCTACCGACCAGCGAAATGGACGCTGTTAACGTCGAAATTACCAAGTCTTTTATACGCTGCCAGGGCTATGTAAAGGTCGGTAAAGGCTATGTTAAATTTTCGTTCGAGGACAGCTGTTTTGATTCCGCCCAGGTTCCGCCTCACACTGACCATACGTATTTTTTTCCCTTTCCCTAGCTTTGCCTTGAACCTGGGATAACAACGAGAGACATTCAACAGACTTGAACAGCTGGGTGCTACTGATGGATGTTGACACTTCGCCAAGGTGGTATTATAGAGGAATATTCGGCAGGAGCCTGCTTGAGGCGGTGAGGTAACGCATAAGACCATAAGACCGTCGGAGAAGGGACTCATGCGTGGAGTCCCAGCAACCCAAAAACCCTTCAATTTTTCCTGTTGCAGCATCTCAACTTATCGACCCAGAGGGTCCCGTGGGCAACTCTCAAAAAATAGCTACAATCTACTGGATTTTTTTCGAGACACAATTGGAAAAAGTCATCTTCAATCATCCCTAGGTTTAAATCCCCTCCTAGCTTTCGGAGTAAAATCAGTTCAGTGACTCCAAATCTCTCTAACCTATTAACAACTCAGCTCCCTCATATGGTAACCTTTCAACACGAGCTCCATTGTCAGGAGTGCTTTGTAACTTCTCAAGACTCCTTTGTCGACGAGTATCTCTTCGTTGAAGAAGATACGTCAAGAATGCGAAGAACACTGTTATAGAAAGTGACAGACATGAGGTTCAATTGAAGAGTGGGGGACAAATGTCGAATCTCACTCATTCCGAAATTGATGCCAGCAGTGGCAATGTTTCCTTTGAGTACTCTATGCGCATTGAACATACGAGTCAGTAGGCGGTCACATCAAATTTAGGATGTAACTATACTTACCGGGGTTGTTCTACCTGTGGAAATAGAACACTGAAATCGCTGATTGGCCAATGAACGAGAAGAGTACTTTCTAGTGCTCACATTGGGAGCCAAGCCTGCAGGGATCACAGTTTACTCGGTGAGCATAGATGGAAAGTGAGTATCATGATGTTCTTCACCTGCATAACATAAGCCCACATGTTACAAGATGCGACGACGAAGGATCGTTCTGAAAATATGAGAGATAGATCTTTCAGTATGTAGAGGAGAATACAGAACGCAAGAGAAAAATGTGTAGAAAAGAGCTACTGCTTGATCAACGTTCAGAAAACTCACTTTCACTGTCTGCCCCTGTCAATTCATTAGCCCAAGCTAGTATAAGGCCCGACATTCCCGCGGGTACCGTTGTCTATGAGGATTCAAGCGAAAGGAGATGCAGGCATTCACAGCCAATTCCTTCGAATCGCAAGTCAACATGCACGTACCATGTAGTATAATGCCCATCTTTTAGCAATGTGTGTATACAAAGGCGTTGCTGCAAGCAGAATGCAAACTATCATACTCCATGTCTATATCATAAGATCAGATTAGCATTGGAGGAAATCAAGCAGGGAGAACTAGAGAAATACTGACGCCAGACAAAATCATAGGAGGCCACCGCATACCAATTGCATCTGAGAACCAGGCCCAAGACAGTGCTACATCATATTATTACATCAAATTAATTGGTGTGGTCGGAAGAAGGGCAGCAGGTAGACTCAACTAGTTACAACCTGTACAACATTCTGTCCCAGAGGGTAAATGTTAATCTGTCCCACAGTGTAAACAGTCTTGGTTGGGGTATTGAAACTCTTCAACCAGAAAATCATCGAGGATGCCGGTCCCCCACCATTGTTGAATAGTACATAAACTGAAGCAAGACAATGAACAAAGCTATAGAGCCTCCTGGAGACTCTAGAAACGGGGCTATAGCCTGACTTACGAGGAACGAGCGTGTAAATGTGCCACGTTGTGAAGAATCCCAGAATCTTTGCCTTAGTGAATTTCGACGGGGGTTTCCTGTTGATTTCCGCCATGCGTTTATTCGCAATCTCCAATTGTTCTTCCGTATAAAGCCATTTAGAAGGTTTGGTGTTATGAGGAAGGTCCGGCATAATGAGGAATCCGAGTAAAGCAATAGGGATGGTGATTATGCCGTCGATGATAAATAGCCCTGTTAGGATAAGCAAAATAATTGGAAGGTTTTATTCGGAAACATAATTGACTGACATTTCCAACCTGCAAGACCATGCACCTCGT